TGCTATGGAGAGGGCTATGCTTGGTGTTTCTTTGCGAGATCGAATCAGAAATGAGGAAATCCGTAAACGTATTAGCCCGACGGATTAGCAAGCTGAAGTGGCAATGGGCAGGGCACATAGTACGCAGAACTGACGGCCGATGGGGCAGCAAGGTTCTGGAATGGAGGCCGCGTACCGGAAGGCGCAGCGTGGGACGTCCACCTACAAGGTGGACCGACGACATCGTAAAGATAGCAGAGAAACGCTGGACGCAGGCCGCTACCAATCGATCAACGTGGAAAGCATTAGGGGAGGCCTATGTTCAGCAGTGGACGTCCTATGGCTGACATGATGACTATGGGAGAAACATGCGAACATCAGGCCTCCCCAACCACACGGATTGGGCCAGTCAGTGTGGGGAGTGTAGGCTGAGTTTTTTCTTGCCTCTAGTAAATTAGAGACACGGTCGTGTCCTTCCACTGAAAACTTCTTCTTCTCTTCGGAACAACATGATTCACGTTTGCAACTTAGTCCAGGAGGTATTTGTCAATTCTAGACATCTAGGCGAGACATTAGTAGAGTCAATTTGACCCCTAAGTATCTAAATTATTACTCCATTCAAAAGTTATACAGTCAGTTTATAATGACAATCGTAATTTAACTTCTTGGAACTTAACTGCTAATATATGCGTAAATCTGAGGGGAATTTAAACCGCCAATGACTAATCAAGACAGGTGGCCCTTTCTTACTAACCGTAGGATATTATAATATTAGGAACAGAGGTTTAGTTTGTCCGTTTATTTGAATAAAATCTTTAACTGATATTGGAACTCTACTTGCAATGATCGAAAACTTAGCGTTGATGATGCTAAATTATTCGTATACGGTAGGTACTATTCCCACCAGCCTCTCGTTCCCACTCCTGTGTAGCCAGGATCTACAGCTTGACCGCCAATAAAAACCCAACCAGTAAATTGTTAAAAGTACCTAATAACTCGTCGTAATGACTTTATTTTATACGACTGATATTTTTCTTTTTAATCCACAACGAGAAAACCCTTGACCTGTATCTCACCTGATGTAAAGTGATGATCAGGCCGATAAGGTGGAAGCGAACTTCATTCGAAATCCTCAACCACAGAGGAACTGATCTTACCTCTAACTGCCGGAACATAGTAAGTAATGCTGTTTGTATTCAAACAAAAGATCCTTCGAACAACTGATCATAGCACTGAAATATAGAAACATTTAATTTGAATCAAAAACAAATCAAAACGTGACAAACTCGGACAGAGCCGCCGGCAGACGTTAACTCATTTGTAATTATGTCATTTTTCCTTCGTCCGTAATGTAAGTGATGTGTATTCTTGATTGCGATACTAAGGATTAGAATACACGAGTCATATTACAGTCTTATCAAATTAGCTAGATAGAGACCTTAAATTAAAAGCGGTTATTTTAAAATACAAATAAAAAAAACCCAGTGCCTCAGTGCGGTGACAACGAAGTAAAAATCCCTTAAAAACAAATGTTATTGTATCAAACTACTTCTAAAATAATTCTGCTTGCTGAATTCCAAAGGCTAAGCCTTTTAAATAGATTGTGGCTTGAAGAATACACAATATTTCATGTTTAGCCTTTTCGGTATTTTTACTTTCATTGCAAGTACCTCGAATATTAAAATTTAGAATACACAATGTTAACTTTTTGGCCTTTTAAATATTTTAGCTTGGGGAATACCATCCCCACTGCTTGCGCTGACACACTTTCGCTACCACGAATATTTTATAATATTTTATGTATTATATTAGATTTTATATTTTTGTATTTGTACTATTTTGCACCGCCTACTTAAATTCTCTGTTTTGTTTAATTTTCTGGTTAGCTGGAAGAGAATGCCACATGGCATTAAGCTCGCCTGTTGTACCACTGTATTTTTATGTGTGCAATAAAGATTTTAAATAAATAAATATTAAAATTTAGAATACACTATATTATTTTTTTAGTCTTTTATGTATATTCGCCTGTCTGCACCCACCTTAACACCAGCCTGGGGAATACCATCCCCACTGCTTGCGCTGACACACTTTCGCTACCACGAATATTAAAATTTAGAATACACAATATTATTTTTTTAGTCTTTTATGTATTTTCGCCTGTCTGCACCCACCTTAACACCAGCCTGGGGAATCCATCCCCACTTCTTGCGCTGACACACTTTCGCTACCACGAGGTACGTGCCGCAAAATTTGAATACTGTACTTTTGGTTTCTAATGCGAGTTATGTTTTGATGAATATGACTCTACCTTTCTTTGTTACTCGTGTTTGTAGTATAGGAGTTGGAGAGAGATGGAGATGAAAAATCTATTTTGAGAATTACAAATAAATAACAGAAAAAGGTTTTCAATTTGGAATAATAGATTAAAATTTAAGTACCTAATGGTAGTTAAATTGAAAATAGCTATTTTCCTAAAGGATGGTTACTCATTTTCTTTGTTCTACAAAGTATCAATATTATGCTGAATTGCTGACATAATAGCTGAAAATGGTTGTGCAATTCTCATTTATTAATTCTTATTTTATCAACAGAATTAAAGTTAAATCTTTAGTACTACTTCTCAATACTCTATCAACATTTAGCAAGAGATGTGGTTGAGGATTCCGATTGAAGATAGCTTGCGCCTTTGGCCTTATCATTACTTTCCACCATGTGAGACGCAAACTAACGCCCGTACTCACAAACGATGCTTGCTTAAGTAAAGCAGCCAATCGAACGCACAGCGTTTAATAGAGCTCTGTGATTGGTTCGTGTGTCACCCTGTGCGCCCACGTGCACTTTGAGACGTCATAGTAATGTTTGCGAATACGGACGTAAGAGCTTCTCAACCATAATTCAACCAAAACAAAAACATTCACCGAGAATTATTATTCCAAACATTAGTCACGTACGGAACGAAGTACTAGGCGCGCATAGCGCAGTGTCGGTGGTTCTATCACAAAGCTGGTTCGGCCTCAAAGCGAAAGTGAGTGTTACGCAACGCTCATGCCGCCTTAGTAATTCGTTAAGCTCCGCCAAGTTTTTGTGTCAGAACGCCGGTGTTTGACACCAAATACCCATATGGTTTGACGGGTTATTGTCGGTTTGCCATTACATCGATAGGCCACGAAAAAAAGCATGTATGAATTCTATTCAGGAATTTTGTAAAGTTCGCCACACTTTGTATGAACGTTGTATCGTATTAACAATAAGCCAGTTTGACGTCTAGATTAGTAAATTAATAGTTTAAAAAACTAAAAACACGCTTTTAATTACTGAACTAAAAGGCAGGATCCTAATTCAATGAACCCAAACTTGATGCGATTCCGCCGTTTCGTTTAGGAGTTCCTATGGCCACCTTCCAGTCCCATCATCAGACCATCTCGATGGTATCATAATATTGTATTGTTTTGTAATCTAATCTACATAATACATGCCAAGTTTCATGATGATACAAGAATTAGAAGTGCATGTAATTTAGATTCTTAAATTCCATTAGACAGTTTTTTTTCTGTTAAAGATGCTGCTTAAAGATTAATGACTTAATGCCATAAAGCATACTCGCTTTATGGCATTAAGTTCACCTCGCGTACCAACTTTTGAGGCACCAAAGCTTAAATGCCCACATGGTGACGTTTTTGTCACGCTACCCACGGGTTTCCAGGTATTCGATGATCACACCTACGTGGCTGCACCCATGTCATTAATATTGTTTAAATTGAATATTTGAAGTTAGACCATTTGAGCACTTCTGAGATCTATTAGATAGTCTAGCAGACAGATTTCAATACTAATTATAATTATTGATTGTGGAAATTGTAATAGAACCAAAATGGTGACTCAAACGTTGTAAATGAATTAGCATTATCCTGCGGCTTACGACAAAGCGATACCTTGTAGAGTTGAATCAAATAGGTATAAGGTAACTATGATTTTGTGCTACGAAAGGCACATTTTATGGTTTTTCATGATGAACGAAACCAGGGTGTTGGGCTTATAATCGTAATTTACCACGTCGTAGTTCACAGTATCAACCTCACCTGATATCCCTCAGAATAGAGGGAATGATTTAGAAAACACACTATCACAAGCTTTTGGTAGGTATTTTGATCATTATATTTTCGCACCCCCCCTGGAAGAAGTATGCAAGTCCACTTGTGCGATATTTTTTTTATTGCACTAAAAAATCGAGAAGGAGGTAATACATATTGTCAATTTTTTTCATAATTTTTCTCTTAAAAATGAAGAAATTATGTACAAATATGTAAAATATTGCAACATTAAAATATCTAAATTTCCATAACAAAAACGAAGTAAATATATTTGCATTTAAATGTTTAATAAAGTTCCGTATGAATAATAGCATATTAATGTTTACATACATCTTCCACGAAGACTTTAAAAAACATTTTCGCGTATCTATTGTTGCATACTTATCAACCGACTTCAAAAAAAGGAGGAGGTTCTCAATTCGACCCGTATGTTTTTTTTTTAGGATATTATTTGGTGGGTGTCGTAGTGCAAGTTCAGTTGCGTAGTTTTTCCACGAAACTTTTGTGCTGGTAATTTTGTGCAAGTCTAGATGCCTAATTCTTCCACGAAGCTTTTATTCAGATTATAAAATATAACAATTGATACGTTATTTTCTACGTAGATATCTTTGTGTAAGTCTAGTTGCTAATATTTTGCGAAACTTTTGGCGGTGTAGTATTTTATACCGATATTGATACATTTATTTAGATGTAATTTAGTCATTAACAAAGCACAAATTAACTTAGTTTCAGTCATTTAAGTATCCAATCCACTACTATTTGCACTAAATACCCCCGTAAGACTGTGTGTTTATCAAAAAATCGTCCCAATGATTACTTACCACGTGGTAAAATTATCGGTCTTTATAAGTACAAGATCCATTTTAAATTCTGTCTCTCTCTTCAGTAAATCGTTATCGTAGTTATCGTGATACATTTTCATCTTTCCAGAGCTTATGCGTGTATTGCCAGCATGACAAGGTATGTATCTATACGTCTTTTGGAGCAGTAAGCAACAATAGGTGTGTCCCCAATTATAAAATGACACAAGTTTATATGTATTTTAAGGATTATTGTAATCAAAAGGACATACTCGTAATGGTCAGACGTTTAAAAATGCAACAACCTGATACAAAACTGTTGCCATCTTTTTGTATGTACGATGAGCGAATACTGACTGTATTCTTTTCAGGTGGTACTTGATCGACTGGACGCCAACCTTTCGCAGACCTCCACAGATTGTACTTGCCACTGGAATGTAGTGCCTATCCTAGTGTTGACGCTATTTGTTCAGTAAATTGCATTTATTTCCAGGCCTTATGAAACTCCTCGCTCAGACAAAGTTCCTATTCTGGTTGCTTCACAGGTCCGGCCACTCTTCAACAAAGCGTATAAAAGCACCTATAAGTTTTGGACCAAATAAAAACTGTTCTTTCTTTCTTTATAGGTTCAGCCAAACCAACGCAATCTCAAGCGATCAGCCGGCGTGCAGTGATGGCGATTAGACTTAGGGTTCGGCCAGGAGACAATTTTCCAGCGAAGACTTTAAGAGGTTCTGTGCAGAGAGGAACATACGGCTTTATAATACCATTCCCTACTGGCCACAACAGAATGGAGAGGTGGAGCGCCAGAATAGGGACATTCTCAAACGCCTCAAAATTTCTCAAGTGGAAAAAAAGAACTGGAAGGAGGCTCTTCTTGAGTACATGGCGATGTACAACAGTACACCTCACACAGTTACAGGAAAAACACCTGCGGAACTGTTCTTTAGACGACAATTTAGAGACAAGCTGCCTATGATTCAAGACATGACGCATTCCTCGGCGGACCTTGAAATGAGGGATAGAGATAAAGAACTAAAAGAAAAAGGGAAGGAATATGCGGACATGAAGAGGAGAGCTACTGGTTGTGAATTGGAAGTTGGAGATAAGGTATATGTCAAAAATATGACTAAACAAAACAAGTTGAGCTTGAACTACGAACCCGAGACACATACCGTCGAAGAGAACAAAGGAGGAGACGTAAGTCTCCGGAACGATGAAACTGGTCAGCGGATCAGACGAAACGTCGTACACCTAAAACGTGTGGAAGGACAATGGAAGGTGTTAGATGAGGAGAATAATGCCAGTGATGCTCAGACAAATGATAGTGGCGATGTAAATCAATCACAACTCGGGTGGATAAACTGAGGGATGATAATGAGGAATAATTGGAGATTAAATATAATTGGAATAAGGACTTTCTGATTGTACTTGGTAATGATGATGATGCATAGATACTTATGGAAAATGAAAATGTTCATCTAATGACAATACAGTTTGGTGATTATTATGAATGTATTTCATTTGTACGTTAACCTTATCCCTGGCCCTTAACTTGTCATTTTCATTAGGTATAATTATTTTATGAAAAACAATAACAAGGGAGGGATGTAGTGTATAGACATTTATAGTTGTGAATAAGTATGCTATGACCTTAACTCTGTCGTCTCGAGAAGCACGCGCGCGGGGTCGCGGGGCGGGAGGGAGCTGTCAGGCAGACCTACCGACCGCCGTAAGGGAAGACGCGTTGTTGCTTGCTGCGAGCCGATATCCGTGTTATCAGTGTTGCTTGGTGTTATTGGTTCGACTTACCAATTCAACATAACATACAATAGTGTACACTACAAAAGATATGGTAATTATACTCTTATGCAATTCATCGACGGTACGCCAACGCAATAGACGTCTACTTGCTTACAGGTCATAGAACTAACTAAGGGCTCGCGCCGCGCGCGTAAATGATGTGTCAAATATTATTATTTAGGCTTGTGTGCCCAAAAACAAAAAACGTCACGGGAATTAGGATTTTCGCTCGGACAAGCAGTTTTTTAATTCTAATTATTTACAGAATGGTTCTATTGAATAGATATTTTGCTATGCATAAGACTATCTTTTATACTCTTTAAAATGTTGAATGGAGTAAACCAAATCTTTACGACATAAAAATTACAACCAACTTTTAACATTAAGTCGGTGTGCGGACACGTAACGGTAATTAGAGAACAGAGGTTCATGAAATTAATTTAGACACAAATACTTCAAATAAAGGCCTATGATTTAATGCACAACTGGATAGGGTTGTGAAGTAACATATAAAAATACTTGCATGTTTCTAATTTGTCATTTTTAACGATTTAACAGCCCGGACACGCAAAAACTAGCTCATCTGAGAATGGCCGTAATACGTCGGGCTATGTCAGCGACTTTGGTTCGTTTACCGTGCCGTGTGGGGACGGCCGTAAAGAATACAATTCCCCACCGCCAACAGGAGGCGTGTCGTAAGAGGCGACAAAATCCTGTAGCACGAGATGGGCAGCAGCGTTTGCGTGCGAAATTTATAAAAAACTGCGCTCGCCAACCCGCCTGCCAAGCGTGGCGAGTATCGGCAATGATCCCCCCAATGAGGAACACAACAGCGACCAGGCCCCCAGTCTCCGGTAGCCCCGCAGTTACTGGCTACGGTAGCGGTCAGGGTAGCAGCGGGGCGGGGGGTGCTAAGAATCTCCGGAGGCGGACTGGCTACCCACACCAACGACGACTGGCCCTGGTAACGCATAATATACGCACATTGAGGACTGACGAAAGGATCACAGAGTTGGAAGACGAACTGAGTAGGTTGCGATGGAGTATAATGGGACTATCGGAAGTCCGACGAGAGGGCGAGGACACGATCATCCTAAAATCCGGCAACCTACTCTACTACCGGGAGGGCGAACAACTGTCCCAAGGTGGTGTCGGGTTTCTCGTCCACAAGTCCCTCATTAACAACATCATCACCATCGGAAGTGTGTCGAGCAGGGTTGCTTACCTGATACTCAGAGTATCCAAAAGATACTTGCTGAAGGTAATTCAGGTATACGCACCGACCTCTACACACCCAGATGAGGAAGTAGAGGCTATGTATGAGGACATAAGTAGGGCCATACATACTACTAAAACCTACTTCAATGTTGTTATGGGGGACTTCAACGCGAAGCTGGGCTCTACCGCTTCCGTAAAAATAAATGTCCTGAAGCAGTGGTTGGGTTAATACTGGGGAGTGTAAAACTATAAAAGTGCTTTATAAAAGCCTACTTGCAAAAATAAATGAGTTTTATGCCCGTTTTCACCATTAATCCCAAATTTTTAAGTGACCCCTATAAAAACAAAATTCCTGTTATGTATCACCATAGAGGTCACTTACAAATTAGGGATTGATGGTGAAAACGGGCATTAGTCCTTTTGATAGCTCGTCTCTCCCTAAAAATGCAATTTCCGAAAATTATAATATAGTTATGCAAAAATATTGTAACTTTTTGATTTTGAATAAAGCTATAATTTTACATACTACCATAAGTAATGTAATTTTTCACAAGGTAAAAGTACGTTATCCTTTTTACGAATTTATTTCAATACGAATAGTTCGAGGAAAAACTACGTAAACTACACTTACACGTTGAATGCACGACTAAATCTGAACGCCAATAAGTGGTTATCTGCAATAATACCAAATAGCATGTATTCCTTTACATGTCAACAATGCAATATTCATAATTACAACAACAAGTGTTAAAATATGTTTCGCGGAATAAGTACGCAACGCTCTTTTTTAAGTTTTTCTCAAAACCTATTAAGTGTATTTTAAATATAAATACATAGGCCCCTCACAGACATTTTTAGCTATCTTTTGATGTATAACACATATTTTTAATAATGGTAATAAATTTTTAGGACAGTTTTTTTACGCTCCTGAAAAGTTGGCATTTTTCACTTGCGTACTTATTCCAGGAAGGGTGCGTTTTATGAGTAAAACCCCCTAGCAATGTTTTCATCTGCTTGACATAGAGTGTCCCATTTTTTTTACCTTTGTTGTCAATAAAAATGAAATGCATTTCAATAATAAGTCTACATCATTGTAAAGCCAGTACCTACAGAATAATCACCTTTCGTTTCATTATTGCAACTGCTGTTTATCCAGGATCTACAACAGCTTGACCGCCACTAAAACCCGAACACTGAAGACCACCTTTTTCCAAAACAATCCACCTGTAGAAATCTAAAATTAAACCTACTCGTATCATTTTAGCAAATACCTCCTTGAATTCAACCAAACACACAATATTTATAAGGATGTATTTAACGATCCTTCCAAATATATGTTTTTGAAAGTAAAATCATAACCTCTTTAGCGTAGGCGGGTAAATGAGGTTAACGCGCTATGCTTAATGCATTTCTTACTTGTACAGTCCGACAAGAAGCTGTCGTTTGTAATATAGGCTCAATTAAACATGCAAAAAGTGATAATCTACTTACAACATTATGGTAGAGTTTACCAAAGATACAGCGGTTAGGAGGGGATGGATAATCACTTTGAATGTTTATATAAAGTGGTCCATAAAATACCTACATATTTCCAAAATAAAAAGAAGTTCAAAGTTTAACCACAAAAACACTAATGGCCCTGTGGAGTCTGTTCGCATTTAGCCTCAATCACCTATAGCCTCTCTGGCTCCTGAAGTACCTGTTATGTACGACAGAAGACAAAATCTAAACAACGGTAGAGCCACACACGCTTATGGCCCTATGTCCTGAAGAGCACTCCTCCTTGTTTAAATGGTAGGAGAATGTCTTAAATGGCATGATGTCATGATGATGACCAGCAGGCCTAGGATGCGCGCCGTGTCAAGCGTTTACGTCACAGGCGGTTGCGTCACAGCCACCTTCTGCCGTCCATTTGTTCTTTAGTTTTTCAGGAGAATTCTATTTGAATTATGAACTTTATGATATTTATGGCCTCTGAATTATGAACTTTATGTCATTCATCTATAGATGACCACCAAAAGCTGTTCGTGATGATGACCCAAAATCGCTTGTCTATACTCCAGCATCAGCGGCGTCTGGTACGGCACGGTGACTGGGTTACCGTGGCGGTTGTGTCACAGCCACTTTCTGCACTGTCACACAAATAATGGCCCAAATATATAGTAGAAGAATAAGACCATCGGCTTATGATTTTTTTGCCCCCCCCCCCCCCCATAACCTTAGGCGAANATTCGCTAATAAAGAGGAATCACAAGTTTGATCCTCAGACGATGACCTTTTGACCTCTGAAAAGAGATCACTAGGTGGACCGGCGATCTGGTGAAGGTCACCGGAAGAACCTGGATGCCGGCAGCGCAGGTCCGGTCGTTATAGAAATCCTTGGGGGAGGCCTTTGTCCAGCAGTGGACGTCATTTGGCTGAAACTAACGAACGAATGTTGATGATGATGACCTAATAATCGCTGGTCTATATCATCAGCGGCGTCTGGTACGGCACGGTGACTGGGTTACCGTGGCGGTTGCGTCACAGCCGGTTTCTGCTGTCTGTCCGTTTTTTGGAGGCTTTAGATAAGATTTCCAGGAGAGTTCAATTTAGAGAGCCGGTATTATTTATGGTCTCTCTGAATTATGAACTTGTGACCTCAAGTGCGACCCTATGATAGACGACCACCGACAACTGTTCGTGATGATGACCCAATAATCGCTGGTCTATACTCCAGCATCAGCGGCGTCTGGTACGGCACGGTGCGGTGACTGGGTTACCGTGGCGGTTGCGTCACAGCCACTTTCTGCGCTGTCGCTCGCCTACTTACCCACTCACCGAAACCTGCGCGCGCGGTGTATTGGCCGTTGCGGGTGTTGTTGGCAAATATAACGAGGTTTGATTTGATTTGATTTTCGCATGTAATATGGCTGACCCGACCCTCGAATGTAAACTCAAGCCTGGGTAATTTATCATCATCTGTCATAAAATCAAATGCTTGAATTTGAATTGAATTTTGGTTTAGGTTAGGTTTAGGTTAAGGAGCCTTCACATTAAGCTGTCGTATGGACTAACAATGTCTGATGTTTAGTATCCTGAAATCAAAGGTGTTATATGGCCCATAATATTTCGTGTAGACGATATACACATAAAATTGCTTTAATTCAACAACCAATTTATTTAGTAAAAAAGTTATATTATTGGTCAGAATTATTTTCAACATTAAAGAGAAATCCTCCAGAAGGCTAGTGTGCTTATGTATTCCATTTCTATTCCTTTTAGCCTAATTTCAAAGAAAACAAACATTAAAACTACTATTACTAGCCAATTCACAGCGACCGCGCTTCGCTGCGCTGGCGCATTGCATCACATCACAGCTAGTCGGCCGCTCACCGCACCCCCCACCCCAGGAGGGGGGATGTTTACTAGCCGATGGAAACAGCTATGTTTAGGATCTTAAACTTGTTGGATGACATTTGATTCGTCTATTTTTGTGACAGCTAATCCTTTGAAGATTGCGAAAGATTGCTTCTTTCTAAGTTACGAAGATAAGATCGTGTAAATATTATGTGACAACCATTCCTACTGGTGGTTCACGTGTAGGTATATGTAAGTGTGAAGAGCATAATGCGAGATTTAAAGAGTTGTTATAAGCGTCAAATGCAGCAGCAGGGCAACTACATAGCACGAAGATAGAGCTGTCAATGCGTCTGATGGGGCAGAAACGTTCTGGAATGGATGTAAGTCGGGTAAATATCACAGCATAAGGTGACAATTAAAGGTAGACAGATGACCTCCCTGGATGCGGGCCGCTTCCAAACAGGTGATATGGAAAATCATTGTCTCGCCCAATGATTTCAATATTTATATTAGCTACTAGCTGACCCGGCGAACTTCGTACCGCCTTAGCGTAGAGATTTTCTTAATATTTTTTTCCGTAAGAACCATCCTTGGACTTCCACAAACATTAAAAAAAAAGAATTATCGAAATCGGTTCAGCCGTTCACACGTGATGCCGTGACAACGCGAAACGGGTTTCATTTTTATATATATAGATAGATAAGGAAGCGGCTTTGTTTAGCTGAGGATAACTGGACGTCCTATTTCGTCCTATTACTATGATTCAATTGGACACGCTTAGCATGTCCTCCATAATATGGTTTTACACTGCATAAAATACCTAAAATAAAAATGTATTTAATTGCGGCTTACTTTACAATTAACTTCGTCAGAAGTTTTAAAATTTGCAATTCGATAAATTATTGTTTCTAACGAAAATTGGGTTTTTCAAGTTTACGCATATCGTGTTACGCTGCGTCGACAACTGCATCGTCATTAGGTGTTGTGAATTTAATTGTAACGCGTGTTGACAAAAAAGACAAGGTATTGGTGTGTTATTGGTTATTTTTCTTTTATACCTTCAAAGTACACTTAAAATAGGATCCCCACAAAAAAAGTGTTTTCCCTAAATGCCTTAAAACGTTATTTACTTCAGGACGTCCACAGTTGAACATGGCCATTCCCAAAAGTAAGTGGATGGTAATTAAAATTACTTAGCGCCAATTTTATTTTTAAATTGTCATTATCAAACTTTTACGATTGCTCCAAGCTGTTAAAGCGTGGTAAAGCTTTCGACACTTATCGTATACGGGACTATTCCCACCTCTCGTTCCCACCGCTGCAACTCCTGTGTAGCCAGGATCTAAAGCTTGACCGCCATAAAAACCCAACCAATGAAGGTCAAGTTTGTCGCGGGGGAAAGTTAAACTGTCATTGGACCCGCAACGAAATTAATCAGATGAATGGATGACAGGTGACAAACAAAGGTTTACTTAAAACCTTTAGGAAAAGATTATCCACCACGGACAATAAATATCAATTAAGGGGGCCTATCTTATGAATATTTATCGTATGTTTTATTCTGTTCAAAATTCACTAAACTTAAACAATAATAAACAATGGATCTCAACAAGCGCACAGTATCGGTCTTGTTTGTTCCGACTTCCGAGCACTATTGTGCAACGTTGCCCAACATATTGCGCGTCACGTGCTGAGCTTTTTGTTGCCTAGTAAAGCTTTTAGCGTTTAAGTAAGCTACAACAAACATTAGCGGTTTATAAGAAGAAAACGTTTTCTGTCTTCTTCTAACCAAACTTATAAAGTCACCTGAATCACGAAATTATCTTTCAGAAATTGCAGCTTTAGGAAGTGAATATGTGAATATGAATCTCAATCACGGGACTATTCCCACCTCTTTACCTGACCGCCAATAAAAACCCAACCAGTGAAGGTCAAGTTTGTCCCGGGGGAAAGTTAAACTGTCATTGGACCCGCAACGAAATTAATCAGAAGAACATAGGAGGGGTTCGAGGTTAAGGTTCGACTTCCCTCCATTGCAAAGCGAATCGCAATCAATCACACTCAATTAACTAAATTAGTAATTAACTATGCAAAGAATTCTCAATGAAAACACTACACGTAAACACGTGACTGTTATCTGTTTATCGAAACGTTTCTCGATTTTTGTCTTCAATCGATAAAGCACGACCGGCCGTGCCGGATCGACGATGGCGACCGATAGAAGTAGATATCGATATCGCGTGATGATACGATTGAGGATCACGTGTTACACGTTAATTCTAGGAAAAAACGTCACACGTTTTTAAATAAATAAATAGACTTGGACATTGCGCCATTTTGTCCCAAATTAACCAACGCTTATTGCTATGGGTACCTACTAGACCACGAATATAAATAATAATAATAATAAATAAATTTATTAACACACATTATACAATACAATACAACAGATTTAAAAGAAAGAGACGAATGCATGTTAATAGGGCGCCCGCTCAGTTTTAGTTGGGACACCTTAATAGGATATCCCGACATTGATTTTCAGCAGGACAACTATCAATATGTACCAACAGATTTATTCACAAAATGTTTAAGTGAGTGTCTGAGTGGGAATCGAACCCGCGACCTCTGACATAGGTAGTCCGGTAGGTACGTGAACCATTAGGACATCGTGACATAATGACCATTTTCAGCTTAAAATACTTATGAGATTTTATTTTTTCCTGGAAATGAAAAAAAAATGCAAAATAACACACTCTTGCATTTACTTAGTATTTACAACGTTTTATAATAACTGAATTAAATGTCCTTAAAAATGTGTAATCGTTCAGGATAATTATACTTACTCGTAGTAGTACATAAATTATCATTATCGACCAGGCTTCTACAAAAATGAAGGTATACCTGAGGCTGCATTTAATTTTGTAGTTTTCGAATTAACTACGTTGTTATTCATAATCAAAAATCAAAAATATTTATTCAGTTTAGACCACAAGTGGCACTTATAAACGTCAAACTCAAAATATAGTAAATAATAAAAAAGAAAAGGTAGCCCTTATGGGGCACTTTACATGTCTCCTTATCTTTTGGGCCAGAATTGTAATATTCTCACAAATAGTAGTAAATATTCGTTTTGTTAATTAATTATGCATTTCAGTAATTGGTTTATAATAACGCATTATGCCTGAATCAGCGCAAAACGTAAATAGAATCGTAATAAATTTAAATAATTAATTAACTATTGTTGACTTATCCGGGATCATCAAACAACGAATAGTTATAATCATTCTTCATACAATAAATCTGAATTTACTAACAAATCCTTTAGGCTTCATAGGCTTAAATAATAATTAATTAACAGATTTACCTAAATAATTAGCAATCAATTCATCAACTCCATCATTAAAAGGCACCTGTATTTATTTACTCGTAGACGCATTTTTGTTATTATAATTAGATGGAAAAATCTAATTTGACATTAAAATTTTAATAGCCAAATAATTTTATTGTAATTATCAATGCTATTACTTTAATTTTCATAACGTAGATAAATTACTCAAGCCTTATTACATGCGTAGTTAATAATAATTAACAATCATTTCCGACCGAAAACTCCGATTCATGTCTATAAATAAATTAAGTTCAAAAATAGAGAACGCGTAATCAATGCGCCGTTGAGGAAAAACAAACTTCAGAGCTGAAAAGTGCGAGAAAAAGTCGCGCACCATCCCCGCGAGCTTGGATCCTTCCGGCAACCTTGCGAGCGGCGCGCGCGACGCCAGTCCGCGACCGACCGCCGCTGCGCACGCCCGCGCCGCCGAGTGACGTGCAGTGACCTGTGAAGTGTTTGAAGTGGAGACTCGGGCCGCCGGCGCCGCTGGGCCCCCGATAGGCCCGAGCGGCGGTATGGAGTCCCCGCAAATGTACGACGCGGCCGCCGCGCCGGCGCCGCCGCCGCAACCAGACCTCAAAAAGGCTGTGGAAGAAAAACGAACAGCTTTCCCGCCGCCAGACCTAGACGATCTAAATGGACAGGAGATCAGCCTGGATTTGCAACACCTCATCGAGGATCAATTCCGCGGCGAGGAGACCATGGCGTTGTTCCAGGAGATATTGCCTGGGGGACGCTCGCCGCAGCCGCGGCAAAGCTTCGCTCGGACGACGTTGGCGTACATGCCGCAACCGGTGCATTCCGGAGCATCGTACGCGCCGCCCGTGCAGCCAAATTCGGGACACGAACAGGCTCCCCCGATTAAAGAGGAGCCGCCGGAGCCGCACGACTTCAGACGATCCGTCTCATGTGCTCAGTACACTGGCCAATACAACCCACAGCCACCCGTAGGGGTCAGTGGGCCCTACGGGGGTGGATTTACCCCGCTGCCACCGCTAGGGGCACCTTTGCTGCCTCCGCTGCTGAAGCACAAGCCGGTTCCTCCCCGACGTTCCTCGGGGAAAGTGTTGGATAAAGGCACGGATGAGTACAGGAGGCGCCGGGAACGCAACAATATCGCAGTGCGGAAATCGCGCGAGAAAGCCAAAGTGCGTTCTAGGGAGGTGGAGGAAAAAGTGAAAACGCTGCTCAGGGAGAAGGATGCGCTGTTGAAGAGGCTAGAAGCTGTGTCAGGGGAGTTGAGCCTGCACAAACAGATGTACGTGCATCTGATCAACCTGAACCACCCGGAGATCACGGAGCTGTGTCGGTCGATGCTGCAGCTGGGCGCGCCACATGCGCCGGACCACACGCTCTGACCAGAGGTGAGTTATGTGTGACATGTTGACGGGAATGTGAAGGAAACGTAAACAAAGTGAATTAGTGCAACAGGGGATAGCATGAACATTGTACTCGTATTTTGTGTGTTTTAGCAGGTAAAATATAGATAGTTCAATAAACAATTTGATTTGTGCAGTTAATTGCGAGTTACTTACTTTTTATAAGATATAAAAATGTACGAATGTATTGTGTGTGATTTGCGTAAAAACATAAATGTGAAAACTCGAGGAAAAACTAACGTGACGTATTGAATGAATGGTTTTTGTGAAAAGCATGAAATCGTAGTGTTTTTTATTTCACTGTGAACGCAGTCGTAAATAAAAGTATAGTGAATTTTATGGGGCTTACGAATTGAGTGTGAAGTCACAATAACCGACCTATTATGTTAGATGACTCGGTGATACAACAACTCTTTTTGATGTCCCTTAACTTATTAGAAATGTTATTTTTTGAGTATGACGCAATCAAATTTTACCCATAATTTGCGTATTTACTTAATTGCGTCAGCAAATTATAGGTTACGATCAGCAATAACGTAATTATTATTAATGATGCAAAATTTTGGAAAGCGCCATCAGAAATGACTGTTCCTTTCAATCACGTGTTCGTAGATGTTATTATTTGCATTTTATGTAACATTATTGTTACTATTGTTGTAATTGTGACTCAACACACGTGAACTATTAATAACAATATCACGTGGGAAAAGCTAAGTTCGAACTACGAGAAAAAGCAAAGCAAAACGCATGTTCAAGAATTTACTATCAATTATGTGATTGATGTGAAAATGTTTGTTAACTTTCAATGGGTTTGTTGTCAAAAAAGTTTCAAAAAGACAAAAAAGTTTTTACTTTTTTTAGTGCAATTAAAAATTTTCTCACTGTTGATCTCACGTTTAATTTAGTAGAATTAGCTTTAAAATTTTTGGAAGTGTCGATCAAAACTAGATAGATGAGAAAGAAATGCTTACACAAAAGTGACGGTACAATTTAGGCGGTATTAATGCTATAAAGTGATCTCTTCCAGACAATTAGAAGACAGTTGTATAGAAAGGACCCTATGTGCTGTTTCGAGTCGGAAATGTCAAGTTTTTGTTGTAATTTAATCGCATTTTTCTCAACCATATTATCTTTAATCAATTGCTATGCAAAGAGTACCCCATACACACCCATACATGTTTGAAAGCGAGTGTGCGTTTGATCCTAGCCACGTGCTCGAGCTCCCAATTCAAACCTTAGCCCATTGTAATAAGCGTCATTATTTGTCATACAAATAATCTCCGTGTTGATAGTCACGTTGCCACCAACTTTTTACCCTGTTCATATTCTTAAGAAAGTTCTTGTGTTCCAAGTGACGGGAACGTAAAAAATAATTTTTGCTTATTTTCTCTTGGTGTTTTCAACTCTTAACTTAAGACTTCGCGGTTCGAAGACTGTTCAAATTTTTCTAGGACTTCGTAAATTTTGTTGCTATGGTCGATTGGATTTTAGTGGTTGCTCTTTTTTATTTTTACAAGCTTTATATTGTTGTTAATGTTATTCCCTAAATCTGGTTTTGTTTTAAGATAGTGGAGAAGTGTCGAAGAGAGTGAGAGATAGTGACAGTTGTACCCAAAAAGCTTTTTGAATTCACTGTTTAATGTTTTTAAACCTTGTCTTTATCGGTGAATAAATAGTAATGGTACTAATCACCATGATTAAATATTTCTTAATATGCTTTTTATGTTCCAAATAAAATGAAAATTGTAGTCACTTTGAAATGGGGAAACAGTAACCATTAGGTAATAATTTAGTAAACAATACTGTACTGGCTATAATATTTAGTTTACAAGTACGAGTACAGACAAATTTTAATAAAAGTGAAGATTGTAACCAAGTTGATTATTATTTTCTGAGCATCTTGTCCCCAGGGGTCATTACTAAGTCTTCCCATAATTCTATCAGCATATTCACTTTTTTAATTAAGTTTAACGCCAATGACATTATTTGGTTTATAGGAGTAGCTCAAGCCTTCCCCGTTTACCAATCACTGACCAACGAATGTCGTATTATTAATTGACATAATTGGACCACGTTATGCACGATGCAGTGAGACATTTATTAATTTCATCATTATTCACTTCATTTATTTTTGTCAATCAATTCTCTTTATTGAAAAAAAGCTATTGCCCACGTGATTTGGTCAATTTTAAGCTCCTATTCAAATTTCACTTTCTTTCTACAAATTAGATTGATGTTTGATAAAATATTTAAACAATCAATTATCCTATAGCCCAGATTGATACAAATCATCAATCCCAACTAATATTATAAATGCGAAAGTAACTCTGTCTGTCTGTCTGTCTGTCTGTCTGTCTGTCTGTCTGTCTGTTACGCTTTCCCGCTTAAACCTCGCAACCGATTTTGATGAAATTTGGCATAGAGATAGTTTGAGTCCCGGGAAAGAACATAGGATAGTTTTTATCCCGGTTTTTGAAACAGGGACACGCGCGATAAAGTTTTTCTGTGACAGACAAAATTCCACGCGGGCGAAGCCGCGGGCGGAAAGCTAGTGGTATATCATTCTAAATCAAAATTCTAACATCTAGCTTCACATAGTATATTAACATCGCCTACGCAGCCATTTTTATTTATTAACAGTTCTCAAATTTCACTTTTTTTTGTTTCTCTTTCAATCTAAATATGCCCACAAGTACTAGGAGAGCATGGGCAGTTAGCAGTCATAACTCTTTTATACCGGATCGAGAATTTGTATTCAAATTCATTTGTGCAAAACGTAGCCTGCTTGCAACTTTCGTTTTCACCGCATGGCTGCGCATGAGTGTGAACTTTAGCACTGTAGTTTTAGGACACGTTTTTGACTGTTCCTCGTCGAATTTTCGCCGGTCGTGCCCTACATTAATGCTTCCGTTGGTTTGACTTGGTGATTTTAACAATTTTATGCAGTACATTCATGAAACAATAGGAATTAGTGAGGAACATCTGGGTTATGATATTTTTGGCTAATTGAGTATTAATTTATGGAAAAGAAAAAAAAGTTTTTAAAAGTTGTTAAAAAAATTTCACCATGTGATGAAATTGTATTCAATCAATGTTGATTAATGAAAGTATTCTTTAAAATAGCCTTATTGACTCATAGTATTGTAGGCAAGTCGCATTTTTTAAAACTATCTCTGTATAGTCGAAGTCAAAGTCAAAGCTATTATTTAGTACTTGGGCTCTTTCCAGGGTGCTTTTATATGTATGGCGAATTCAGATTTCTATCCTTATTTGCCTATTCATTAATAATACGGAATTTTTTGAGATGGATGGATACTTTTTACTACTTGACGCAAAAACTATTCCACGGATTTTGATGAACTTTTACAAAATGTAGCTTATCACAGCTCACACAATATGTAGCTTTCGGCTCACGTATGCCCGTTTTCACCATCAATCCCTAATGTTTAAGTAATCCCTATGAAAATAAAATTCCTGTTATGTGTTACTTAGGGGACACTTAAAAACTAGGGAATGGTGAAAACGGGCATTATGCTTTTACATTTGCTTAAACTTAAAATCTACGTATATTAAGTCGCAAGAAAAGCTAATCTCACCATAAATTCAACAACATTTACCACCGTCACCGAATCCGTCGTAACACCATACTCCCACGAGCCATTCCCAAGAAATTCCTAGCAAAAACTGTATAAAGAGTCAATACCGTGCCACGGTTTCCCACGAGGCCTAGTTTACTAACTATATGAGATAAGATAGTTCAATCCCAATCCCAATCCCAACTAATATTATAAATGCGAAAGTAACTCTGTCTGTCTGTCTGTCTGTCTGTCTGTCTGTCTGTCTGTCTGTCTGTTACGCTTTCCCGCTTAAACCTCGCAACCGATTTTGATGAAATTTGGCATAGAGATAGTTTGAGTCCCGGGAAAGAACATAGGATAGTTTTTATCCCGGTTTTTGAAACAGGGACGCGCGCGATAAAGTTTTTCTGTGACAGACAAAATTCCACGCGGGCGAAGCCGCGGGCGGAAAGCTAGTTACAATATTAAGTTATTAACTGCAAGGACAAGCAGCCTACAGGCTATGAATCAACTAATATAACTAGCTTTTACTGCAGCTCTGTCTGCGTGGGAGTTAGCTTTGTCATGCGAAAACTTTGGTATGGAAGCAAGTTGTGTCTTCTCAATTTCTAAGTTGAATGAGCTTAACTGATCTGATAACTTATGCCTTTGTTTTTTCACCTGTCAACCGCTTTGAACTCCACCTACGTTCTTCTGATTAATTTCGTTGCGGGTTCAATGACAGTTTGACTTTCCCCTGGGACAAACTTGACCTTCACTGATTGAGTTCTTAATGGTGGTCAAGCTGTAGATCCCGGCTTCACTGGATTTGCAGTGGTGGGAACGAGAGGTGGGAATAGTCCCGTAACATAACTTTAAGCTTAACTGACGTCAGATTTCCTTTATGAGCTTTAGAATCATTATCTTTTGTAAGTTCGAAAAGTTGACTATTATTTTTTATATTTCTTTTTTAATGTTTCTTTGTAAATAAACTATTATTTACTGACAATATTATTATTGTGTATTAATATTAATTAGTAATTAACACTTACGCGAAGCTACTTACTACTAGTCATTAAGCTCTTGAGATTATTTGGAGTGATTTTATCTATTTACCCTGGTTTTGTAACTATTTGACATAAATAAATATTTATCAATGACATAACAATTAGTTCATGGTCTAATAAAAACTGTGTTACGTTTAAATTATGCAATATTATACATATAGCATGTTATATAAACCATCTTTATGATTTTGAACTCAATGTTTAGTAAAACAAAACATTAGTCTTAGTTACTAAGTAGAATTAACAGCTGGCTTTATTTTTTAATCCTAATAAGCACAAAAAATATCTGTTAAATTAAGTTACAAAATGTCAGTTGGCTATTTGACAGATTAAAACGAGAACTTTTAGAGCTAATTTAAAG